TCCCAAATACATTGACATATATTTGAAATGCTACAATTTTGGCCATATTCAATATATATATATATAGATAGATAGAGAGAGAGAGAGAGAGAGAGAGAGAGACACAAAAACACATTTCAACATGCAGTAGATGTGTGTGTATTACAAAATATCAAAAATACTTTTAACAATACATTTCAAATAATCTGTATGTCTTTAAAAATACAAATCTACATTTTGGAATGCATTTACAAATATACGTGAAAATGACTTTATGTTAAAAAAAAATCTGAAGAATATATTTTAAAAATATATATTTTTAAAAATATTTTTAAAAATATTTTGTAATATGTAAAAGATGTATTTCAACATGCAATATATATATATTTTATATTATATATATTACAACATATATGAGAAATATTTTTAAAAATACATTTCAAATATACTGTATGTCTTTAAAAATACAAATCTACATTTTTGGAATACATTTACAAATATATGTTAAAAGGACTTTTTTTTTCTATGTTAAAAAAATGTGAAGAATATATTTTAAAAAATATTTTTTTTTTTTATATTTTGTAATATATAAAAGACGTATTTCAACATGCAGTATATATATATATATATATATATATATATATATATATATATATATATATATATATATATATATATATACACACACACACACACACACACACACACACACACACAAATAATATATACATATATATATACACACACACATATATACACACACACTATATATATATATATATACACATACACACACATACACGCACTGTATGTTGAAATGTGTTTTTTATAGATTACAAAATATATGAAAAATATTTTTAAAAATATATATTTTTTTTAAATATATTCTTCAGATTTTTTTAACATATAAAAAAGTCATTTTAACATATATTTTTACATCTATTTGTAAATGCATTCCAAAAATGTAGATTTGTAATTTCAAAGACATACAGTATATTTGAAAATGTATTTTTAAAAATATTTTATAATAAAAACGCATTTCAACATACAGTATATATATATATTTTTTTTTATTTATTGAAATATATTTTTAAATAAATTGAATATGGCCAAAATTGTAGCATTTCGAATATACGGCAACATATTTGGGAAGAATATTTTAAAATATATCTTTTCTTCCATGTGGGTTGGTGCAGAGCTCCAACCTGGGATGCGAGGAAGCAGGGAAGAGGGAGAATGGGACAGGGGCAGAGGCGCTGCACCATGGGCCTCTAGGTTGTACTTGCCCCCTGGGCCAAAAGTTGCCTGTCAGGCACCTGGAAGAGAGAGAGGTGACTCCATGCATGTGGCGCATCATGGCAAAGGGTGGACGTGGCTTCAAGGGGCATGGCCAAATAAACCCTGACCCTTCTCTCTGTGTATACTACACCCGTACACCACAGTAATTGCAGCATCACAATATGCCAGAGACTCTCACAGACACACGTAAACCTCAGCACAAAGGAACATATAAAAGAGCAAAAAAAACAACAAAACACTCACATGACATCCGTCTTCCTGCATACAGGATATAGGCAGAAATCACAACTCTTACTAAGCCGAACTTAGAACTTTCATTAAACAGTTGGGGATTGCTTAACAACTAGCAATGGTTAAAACAACGAGCATTTCGGTCAGGAGTATGTAATGTACATCACAGCTTGCACAGTGCAATTGCCAGGGGTATGGAATGTACAGCAAAGCTTCCAGACCAATGGTCAGGAGTATGTATTGTACATCACAGCTTGCAGAGTGCAGTGGCCAGGGGTATGTGATGTACAGCCTAGCTTGCAGAATCCAGTGGCCAGGGGTACGCAATGCACATCACAGTTTGCAGAGTGCAGTGGCCAGGGGTATGTAATGTACGGCAAAGCTTCCAGACCAATAGTCAGGAGTATGTAATGTACATCCCAGCTTGCAGAGTGCAGTGGCCAGGGGTATGTGATGTACAGCAAAGCTTTCAGACTAATGGTCGGGGTATGTGTTATTGCCAGGAACATGTAAGGTAAACCACAGCTTGCAAAGTGCAGTGGCCAGGAGTATGTAATATACAGCAAAGCTTTCAGACTAATCATCAGGAGTGCAATGGCCAGGGGTATGTGATGTACAGCACAGCCTGCAGAGTCCAGTGGCCAGGGGTACATAATGCACATCACAGCTTGCAGAGTGCAGTGGCCATAGGTATATACTATACAGCAAAGCTTTCAGACCAATGGTCAGGAGTATGTAATGTACATCACAGTTTGCAGAGTGCAGTGGTCAGGGGTATGTAATGTACAGCAAAGCTTCCAGACCAATGGTCAGGAGTATGTATTGTACATCACAGCTTGCAGAGTTCAGTGGCCAGGGGTACGCAATGCACATCACAGTTTGCAGAGTGCAGTGGCCAGGGGTATGTAATGTACAGCAAAGCTTTCAGACTAATGGTCAGGGGTATGTGCAATTGCCAGGAGTATGTAAGGTAAACCACAGCTTGCAAAGTGCAGTGGCCAGGAGTATGTAATATACAGCAAACCTTTCAGACTAATCATCAGGAGTGCGATGGCCAGGGGTATGTGATGTACAGCACAGCCTGCAGAGTCCAGTGGTACATAATGCACATCACAGCTTGCAGAGTGAAGTGGCCATGGGTATATAATATACAGCAAAGGTTTCAGACCAATGGTCAGGAGTGTGTGATGTACATCACAGCTTGCAGAGTGCAATTGCCAGGAGTATGTAAGGTGCAGCACAGCTTGCAAAGTGCAGTGGCCAGGAGTATGTAATGTACAGCAAAGCTTTCAGACCAATGGTCCGGAGTATGTAATGTACAGCAAAGCTTTCAGACCAGTGGTCAGGGGTATGTAATGTACAGCAAAGATTGCAGACCGGTGGTCAGGGGTACATAATGTACAGCACAGTTTGCAAAGTGTGGTGGTCAGGAGTATGTAATGTACAGCACAGTTTGCAAAGTGTGTTGGTCAGGAGTATGTAAGGTACAGCACAGTTTGCAAAGTGTGGTGGTCAGGAATATGTAATGTACAGCACAGTTTGCAAAATGTGGTGGTCAGGAGTATGTAATGTACAGCAAAGCTTTCAGACCAATGGTCAGCAATATGTAATGTACAGCAAAGCTTTCAGACCAATGGTCAGCAGTATGTAATGTACAGCAAAGCTTTCAGACCAGTGGTCAGGAGTATGTAATGTACAGCAAAGCATGCAGTCCTGTGGTCAGGAGTATGTAATGTACAGCACAGTTTGCAAAGTGTGGCGGTCAGGAGTATGTAATGTACAGCACAGCTTGCAGAGTGCAGTAGTCAGGGAGTATACAATGCACATCACAGCTTGCAAAGTGTGGCGGTCAGTAGTATGTAACGTACAGCACAGCTTGCAGACCAGAGGTCAGGAGTATACTTCGTAAAGCACAGCTTGCAGAGATCAGGGCAGTATAATGTACAGCATAGCTTACAGAAGGGACAGTGGTTTGCCGGGCCTAGACAGAGTGGCTGGTGGTGAATGTCCCCATGTAAAACAGGTAATTGGTGTAGAGTGGGAAGCTCCAGGAGGTCCTACTGACTGCTTTTGGCCCTGGTGAGGGATGTTGGCATTGACATTATGCAGACACCATCTGGCGGGAGATCACTCCAAGTTCGGTCACTAGGTCTGGACACCAACCAATGAGAAAGTGGCACTGGTCCTATAGTTGAAAAGACACCACCAAGCGGGAGGTCAGTCAGTTGCAGCTCAAGGCACCCCTAGCGACGTCTGGAGGAATCTCGCGGTTTTTATGGAAATCTGGTTGAAAACGACTTCCAGAGGGTCACTTAAGCGAGTCTTCTCGGGCAGCTAATATATTCAAGATGGCGGCACCCAGCAGCTGTCTCGGGGCTTTTGAACATCCACACAAGGGTAGATTTTAGGAATTGGCCGCCTTGGGCTCTTCGGCAAGAAGGGAGTGCCAAATGTATGGAACATGCAAAACTATGCTGCTTAAGTTGTTCATGGCACATGGGGAGCACCTCAGGATCGTCGCCTTGGGTGCTAAAGGTGCTGCCTCAGCACTGTCCCTGCTGCTCTGTTCAGCTACTGAGAATGAAGTGAAATACCTGGCACTACGGGTATGGGGACATGGACTTGCTTTCTCTCACGTGACAATGCTGGTGTCTCCTAATTAGCCCAGTGCTATCACATGGGGCATGGAGAGAGTCGTCGTTGGTGTGGCCGTGGGAGGAAGAGTGCCCCGTCGTTGGTGGCAGTGGGAGGAAGAGTGCCCCGTCGTTGGTGGCAGTGGGAGGAGGAAGAGTGCCCCGTCGTTGGTGGCAGTGGGAGGAAGAGTGCCCCTTCGTTGGTGGCAGTGGGAGGAAGAGTGCCCCTTCGTTGGTGGCAGTGGGAGGAAGAGTGCCCCTTCGTTGGTGGCAGTGGGAGGAAGAGTGCCCCTTCGTTGGTGTCAGTGGGAGGAAGAGTGCCCCTTTGTTGGTGTCAGTGGGGAGGAAGAGTGCCCCTTCGTTGGTGTCAGTGGGAGGAAGAGTGCCCCATCGTTGGTGTCAGTGGGAGGAAGAGTGCCCCATCGTTGGTGTCAGTGGGAGGAAGAGTGCCCCATCGTTGGTGTCAGTGGGAGGAATAGTGCCCCATCATTGGTGTCAGTGAGAAGAATAATATCCCACCATTGGGAGGAAGAGTGCCCCGTCATTGGTGTCAGTGGGAGGAAGAGTGCCCCGTCATTGGTATCAGTGGGAGGAATAGTGCCCCAACATTGGAGTCAGTGGGAGGAATAGTGCCCCATCATTGGAGTCAGTGGGAGGAATAGTGCCCCATCGTTGGTGTCAGTGGGAGGAATAGTGCCCCACTGTTGGTGTGTCAGTGGGAAGAATGATGCTCCATTTTTTGTGTCAGTGGTAAAACGATTCTCCATTGTTAATGTCAGTGGGAGGAATAGTGCCCCAAGGGCCAGATAAAGGCAAGCAAAGGGCCACAGTTCGGAGACCACTGCTCTACACCAAGCACTAGTCATAGTCTATGGTGACTTTTGTAATGTCCAGGCCTGACTTATCTCCCCCACTTCTCCCGTGAACTGAATTAAGATGCTTTTTCAAAGCGGACTTGTGCTTGAAGTCCATGTCACAACAATGGCACTTGTAAGGCCTGTCCCCGCTGTGAATGTTGAGGTGGTCCTGTAGGGTGCTCTTGGCGGTGAAGGTCTTCAGGCACACAGAGCACTGGAACGGCCTTATGCCCATATGTCCACGGATATGTCGATTCAAGTTCTTCTTCTGGGTAAACGTCTTCCCACACTGCAGGCACAGGAACAATTTGTGCATCTTCAAGTGGCGCAGGTAGTTCTCCAAGTGGAGGAAGCCGCGGGGGCACTTTGGACACTGATGTCTCCAGGAACAGGCCCATTCTGCTGTGCTCTGAAGACCTTGTATGGCTCCGGCAGATGAATCTCCAGCTTCTTGGTAGCTCGGGTACGGACCGCCTTGCAGATCAGTCACACGGTTTTCGACGGTGGAGTTTATGATCGAGTGCTGTGTGTCCGAAAAGTACATGTTGGACTTTGACGAGGTGCAAGGCTGAGGGAACTGATCGCTATCGGCATTATTGGCGTTATCAGACATGGAGCCCATCTGGAAAACGCAAATGTCGCTTTCTTTGTAGTCAATATCCACGCCAGAGAGATCTTCGTTTTTGGACATGGGGCTCCGCAATGGTTCTTGGTCGTCTTCCTCTTTCTTGACCTGGTAATCGATGTTCAGCTGGCTGTCCTCCGACAGTTCGATGATCTCGCAGTCTTTATCCTGACCGCCGCCGGCGTCGATCCGAGGCTGGCTGGGAGGGTTGTCTTCTGGTTTCAGCGTCGCTGCGTTTTCGCACGTCTCGCTTTGTAAGTACCGAGAGAGGGCTTCTGTGCATTTCTCCACAATGTGGACCATCTGCAGGTAGCTGGCCGCTGTTAGGTACTTCAGGAGCTCTTTTCTTTTGACCTCCAGGACCCCGGTGTAGCAGGACAGCAGCAGCTTCTGACCCACGTCCGTGTTTTGCAGGATGGTGATGTGAACTTGCCTGGACTGGTTCAGCAGAAACTGGTCCCTCATGAAGGTGGAGCAGGCGGCGAAGACCACCTTGTGTCCGTGGAACTCGGCATCGTTGATGTAGATGGACACGTCACAGAACAGGTTTTGCTCTCGGAGAATGTTCATCTTGTGTAGTATTCCATCTGCTTGCTGCTCGAAGCGGAAGTGAAGGACTTCGGAGTCAGTCATGGTGCACAAACCCTGGAAGAACATGAATAGAACATGGTTACAGAATATGCAGGGGTTCAGGGACATGTAAAGTCCTGGCACCTATTTGGCCATGCTTGGGCGCCATGTAGCCCTCTGGACCCCTGCAGATAGTAATCTGTGCTCTCCTGTTACACCGTAATAACAGGGATCTCTAGCAGTCTCATGTAATGTGTCATTAGGCTGTGCCCAGTCACCAACAACTCCAGTAGCACGTCTACACTCTCTGACCATCGCTTTTAGCGCGCCTGCACTCTCTGACCATCTCCTGTATCTCATGTACACTCTCTGACCATCGCTTTTAGCGCGCCCGCACTCTCTGACCACCGCTTTTAGCGTGCCCGCACTCTCTGACCACCGCTTTTAGCATGCCCGCACTCTCTGACCACCGCTTTTAGCGTGTCTACAACTCTGACCATATCTTTTAGCGTGTCTGCACTCTCTGACCATCTCTTAACGTGTCTCCACCCTCTGACCATCTCTTTTAGCGTGTCTGCACTCTCTGACCATCTCTTTTAGCGTGTCTCCACCCTCTGACCATCTCTTTTAACGTGTCTCCACCCTCTGACCATCTCTTTTAGCGTGTCTCCACCCTCTGACCATCGCTTTTAGCGTGTCTCCACCCTCTGACCATCTCTTTTAGCGTGTCTGCACCCTCTGACCATCGCTTTTAGCGTGTCTGCACCCTCTGACCATCGCTTTTAGCGTGTCTGCACTCTCTGACCATCTCTTTTAGCGTGTCTCCACCCTCTGACCATCTCTTTTAGCGTGTCTCCACCCTCTGACCATCTCTTTTAGCGTGTCTGCACCCTCTGACCATCGCTTTTAGCGTGTCTGCACCCTCTGACCATCGCTTTTAGCGTGTCTGCACCCTCTGACCATCGCTTTTAGCGTGTCTGCACTCTCTGACCATCGCTTTTAGCGTGTCTGCACTCTCTGACCATCGCTTTTAGCGTGTCTGCACTCTCTGACCATCGCTTTTAGCGTGTCTGCACTCTCTGACCATCGCTTTTAGCGTGTTGACACTCTGACCATCGCTTTTAGCGTGTTGACACTCTCTGACCATCGCTTTTAGCGTGTCTGCACTCTCTGACCATCGCTTTTAGCATGTTGACACTCTCTGACCATCTCTTTTAGCGTGTTGACACTCTCTGACCATCTCTTTTAGCGTGTCTGCACTCTCTGACCATCTCTTTTAGCGTGTCTGCACTCTCTGACCATCTCTTTTAGCGTGTCTGCACTCTCTGACCATCTCTTTTAGCGTGTTGACACTCTGACCATCGCTTTTAGCATGTTGACACTCTCTGACCATCTCTTGTAGCGTGTTGACACTCTCTGACCATCGCTTTTAGCATATCTACACTCTCTGACCATCTCTTTTAGTGTGTCTGCACTCTCTGACCATCGCTGTCAAATTGCATGATAAATCGCATTGGCCTGAATGGTGGCTAAGTGTCAGGTTGCCCACCGCACTATCGCGGTCCCATTTTAGATCACGGATTATAAATCCTGTATAATAATAATAATATTATAAATCCTGTATAATAATAATAATATAAATCCTGAATAATAATAATAATATAAATCCTGAATAATAATAATAATATAAATCCTGAATAATAATATAAATCCTGTATAACATAAATACTGAATAATAATAATATAAATCCTGTATATTAATAACATAATTCCTGAATAATAATATAAATCCTGAATAATAATAATATATAAAGCCTAAATAATAATGTAAATCCTGTACAATAATATTAGTAATATAAATCCCGAATAAAGCTATTATAAATTCTGTATAATAATAATAACATAAAATCCTGAATAATAGTAATAATATAAATCCTGTAAAATAATAATAATATTATAAATCCTGTAACAGTAATAATATAATTATTGTAAAATAATCATATAAATCCTGTATAACATAAATCCATAATAATAATATTATAAATCCTGTATAACAATAAAATAAATCCTGAATAATAATATAAATCCTGTATAATAACAACAATATAAATCCTGAATAATATTAATATGTATAATAATCATCATATAAATCCTGTAAAATAACATAAATCCTTAATAATATTATTATAAATCCTGTATAATAACATAATTCCTGAATAAAATATAAATCCTGAATAATATCAATCCTGTACAATAATATTAGTAATATAAATCCTGAATAAAGCTATTATTATAAATTCTGTATAAGAATAGTAATATAAATCCTGAATAATATAAATCCTGAATAATATAAATAATAATAACATAAAATCCTAAATAAAAGTAATAATATAATTCCTGTATAATAACATAAATCCTGAAGAATAATAATAATATAAATCCTGTATAATATTGATATGTATAATAATAATCATATAAATCCATAATAATAATATAAATTCTGTATAAAAATAACAACATAAATCATGACTAATAATCAGTGACTTGCCGGCAGTGTCAGATCCTCTACTCGTCGTCATACAATAATCCTCCTTCCATAAGGCGATCCTCCAGAAATTTCGCCTCTTCCTCTCCGTCCAGAATTCGTCTCTTCTCGGCGATCATCCGGCTTGTGAGAACATTGCTTCCTGGTCCTCTCCGCAAACCCCTCCGACCGGAAACACAGCAACCCAGAGCGGATTCTACTTCCGGGTCATGGCGTCCTCCATTGCCCAAGGTGATTGGAGCCGTTGTAGCGGCAAGAAGAGTTCCCCCATGAAGATGTCTCCCTGACGCATCTGCGCATGTCACGGTTTGTATCCGCACACTTGCAGCAACACAGCCGAGTCCAGTCCGGATACTGTATCTTTGAATCATTGACTCCAACAGTTACACTTTCAGGAAGATCTTTCGGAGGTCCGCCACCTTCTGCGAACCACCCCCCGCCCCCTACTTCCTCTTCAGCTCCATTAACCCTTGTGATACCTGATAAAACCAGCACATAGTAGGTGCAGCGATTACAGAGACATCAACTGCTGGGGTGCAGAGAGAGGGACAACCTGAAATCCGATCAGATAAAATCAATCAATATAAATAAAATACAAAAAAAAAAACCCACAACAAATTAGGATACATAAATAATACAATCCTGTACCTTCAACAAAATAAAAAATAAGCCTTTCAATACCTAAAGCGGCATCAAAATATCTTAAAAAAAAAAAAAAGCTCAGGGATCACTTTGACGCAGTTGGTCAGAGAGGGATCACTTTGACGCAGTTGGCCAGAGAGGGATCACTTTGACGCAGTTGGCCAGAGAGGGATCACTTTGACGCAGTTGGTCAGAGAGGGATCACGTTGACGCAGTTGGCCAGAGAGGGATCACGTTGACGCAGTTGGCCAGAGAGGGATCACGTTGACGCAGTTGGTCAGAGAGGGATCACGTTGACGCAGTTGGCCAGAGAGGGATCACGTTGACGCAGTTGGCCAGAGAGGGATCACGTTGACGCAGTTGGCCAGAGAGGGATCACGTTGACGCAGTTGGCCAGAGAGGGATCACGTTAACGCAGTTGGTCAGAGAGAGATCACTTTGACGCAGTTGGCCAGAGAGGGATCACGTTGACGCAGTTGGCCAGAGGGATCACGTTGACGCAGTTGGTCAGAGAGGGATCACTTTGACGCAGTTGGTCAGAGAGGGATCACGTTGACGCAGTTGGCCAGAGAGGGATCACTTTGACGCAGCTGGCCAGAGAGGGATCACTTTGACGCAGCTGGCCAGAGAGGGATCACGTTGACGCAGTTGGCCAGAGAGGGATCACTTTGACGCAGCTGGCCAGAGAGGGATCACTTTGACGCAGCTGGCCAGAGAGGGATCACTTTGATGCAGCTAGCCAGAGAGGGATCACTTTGACGCAGTTGGTCAGAGAGGGATCACGTTGACGCAGTTGGCCAGAGAGGGATCACGTTGACGCAGTTGTCCAGAGAGGGATCACGTTGACGCAGTTGGCCAGAGAGGGATCACTTTGACGCAGTTGGTCAGAGAGGGATCACGTTGACGC